ATCTAACTCATCCTACTAACTTCTTTGAGCTATCTAAATATATATATATAATTAGATGGGCTTTTTTATGTAACTACCACAAGATACTTACTCCCCTAAACCACTTCCTTCAAAGCTGTTCTTATCTGTAAAATTATCTAATTTGGACGTGTTCTATTACCAATAGAAACTCGTTATGAACCTTAAAGGAGAAACCTGGCACGCACATAATAGGTTTATTTTTTTGTATTTCGGTAAAAAGAGAAATCTTTTATCCCCTGAAATATCTCACTTCTTCATGCATTTGACTGACTCCTTCTTACAGTGGGACTGTTATTTGCTGTGCTGCTGAAATGGAGCCACCTATGAAGGGAAACGTAGCAGTTGTTTCAATGATTCACAGCTCGACTTCACGTCAGTTTTGAGATCAGAGCCCCTCTTGGTGCAACTGAGAGGGAGAAAATCATTGATTTGATATTCCATGAGCTGAGCAGGGTGGGGGCTGCTTCCCCCAGATGTTTGGATTTGGAGGTGTTGGTTTATCCCACGGAACAAACAGCCTGTTGTTGGTGGAAATTGGGGCAGACTCATCCATGTGCATCAGCACAGGCTCTCCTACACCCTGCAGGGGCTCAGCTGGCAGAGCTGCTGCTGGGGAGAGGCTGTTTGGGGCTGGGCTGAGACCCCAAAAGTGTGTTTGGGGCTGGACTGAGACCCCAAAGTGTGTTTGGGGCTGAATCGAGCTGGACCTGCAATAGTACCATAGTTTTGAGCTTCTGTTTTGGACAATTAACTGGATTTTTAAGACCTTCTGATCTCCCCCCCTGTACCTTGCTGACCTCAGGGAGCACCTTGGCAGCAATTCCCAGGGGAGGAGCTCTCAGGGCTGGCTGGTGGGGACCAGTGCTCTGCCCTGGAGGAGGGGCCCTGTCTCTGAGGGCTTTCTGAAGCATCAGCATCTCTTCCCTGCCTTTCTGTGCCCCCGAGTTTAAGCAGGATCCCAAACCCTCCGTAACACTCGGATTTACAGTCTTACAATGACAACACTTCCATTCCCAGGAACAGGATTTTCTAGGTCACCAAATTCCCTTGCTTTGGCAGGGAACTGTGTCAGATCACCTCATTCATAAAGTGACCAAACTCTATTTTAAAACCACTGGGTGGCTTCCCTCCCCCCCCCTCCCCACGTAACACTTCCTGGCAGGAGGCAGTTTGGAAACCTTTGATTTCCAAAGCAAGCCAGGTTTATTTGCAGACAGTTCTGCTGCAGCTGCCTCCTCTGGATTCCCTGCTTTCAGGCCACCCTCACCTGCTGTTTGTTGGCTGACAGGGTGCTTTAACTTCTGTGATCCTGCTCTGCCATGGGGATTTGGGGGTGGAGGCCTTGGATTAGCTTTCCCAGGTCTTAAGTTCCCTTCTAAGTGCACGACAGCAAGGCTGAGGCTCCAATAAGTGTGTGAAGGGCAGAGATGGACCTGAACTATCCAAAACATGTCTCAAAGAGAGTGGGGTGGTTGCATGAGGCAGGAGAGGGAGGAGGATGCAGGATCCACCTGGATGGTGCCTGCAAAGGTGGAAGGAGAAGGTGTGCCTGGCCCAGGTGTGCTCAGCACTGAGGTAAGAGTAGGATCTGTCCATCTCCCACTCCTGGAGTTCTCCCAGAGCCTGCTCTGGGTCTGGGAGCAATCCCAGCCCTCCCAGCCTGTGTGTTACTGCCCCTCCCACTTCACCTCCAGCACTGAGCTGCAGCCCAGGCAGGTGTGAATCTGGACCTCGAGGGCCACAACCATAAATTAAAAGCAAATTCAGCCCAGACACAGGGAAATGCTCTTTTATTCCCAGAATAATAAATGCTTGGAATGGCCTGCTGGGCAGGGGCACTGGAGCAAAGGCCTGGGGATCAGTCACACAGCAAGTGACTTGTAGCTGTTGTCCTGAGGGAAATGATGTGTAAAAGGGATGAGCTCAAACACCCCATGCCTGTTACCTGTGTATCTCATGAGTAATTTGTCTCTGAAGCAGAGGCGTTTTATTTTTCTCCTCTGAAGCTGATTCTTTTCCGCCAGCTTTATTTCTTCTCAGCAGGAGGGGAAGATGAATTCCTGTCAAATAATAGTTCATTGCTCTTAATGCAAGAGTCCAATTAATTGATGGTTTAAAAGCTTCGCTTTTCTCGCCGTTAAAAACAAATAAACAGGGAAACAAAACCGAAGCGTCGCAGGGGAGGTTGGAGCAGCACAGGGACACCTCAGCTCTGGCTGGTGCAGCATTTCCCAGCCTCACACCCTGGGATGGCTCTGGTTGTCCCACTCCTGCCAGTCTCCCAGTGCTGGATGATGTTTTTTCCCAGCCTGCGTTGCTGTTCAGGGCACAAGGAGCAGATTAACATTGGATATGAAGATTTTAGCAGCTGAGGGCAAAAGTGTCTCACCACGTGTCCTTCTCAGGGAGTGCAGAGGGAGAGAACATACAGGGAAAGGTGGAACCCCGGAGAGTTCTAAAGCAAATTAAGGATTTGGGGTGTGGGGGAGAAAGCACAGCTTTCCCAAACCCAAATATCCCAACTGGGAGTGTTTACTTTGGCCTTAGGAAAACTGGTCAGTTTTGGAAGCGACAGTTCCAGTGCCCCACTGCTCCCTGCCCTCCCTCCTCAGACCCCTGCATCCCATCTTCCTGTGCTCCCCCCATCCCAGTTTCTGCTCTCCCTCTGTCCTCAGTCTCCTGCCATTCTGCCCTCCTTCCCAGCTCCCTTCCCCTGCTCCTTGCTTCCCTCCACCCTCTGTTTGCTGTATCCCTCCATCCTGCCCTGTCCTCCTTCCATCCTTAATTCCCTGTTCCCCCTGTATCCCTCCTTCCTGCCCGGTGCTCTTTCCCTGCTCAGTCCTCTGTCAGCCCCGTATCCCTTCCTCCCTGCATTCCTCCATCCTGCCCTGTCCTCCTTCCATCCTTAGCTCCCTGTCCCCCCCCGCATCCACCTCTCCCTGTATCCCTCTCTCCTGCCCTGTCCTCTTTCCATGCTCAGTCCCCTGGCCTCCCTGTGACCCTCCATCCTGTCCTGTCCTCCTTCCCTCCCCAGTCCTCTGTCCCCCCTGCATCCCTCCCTCCCTCCTTCCTACCCTGTGCTCTTTCCACGCTCAGTCCTCTGCCCTCCCTGTATCCCTCCATCCTGCCCTGTCCTCCTTCCATCCTTAGTTCCCTGTCCTTCCCTGCATCCCTCCATCCTGCCCTCTCCCCCTTCCCTCCCCAGCCCTCTTCTCTCCCTGTACCCCCTCTCCATCTCTTCCCTCCCCACATCCCCCCATCCTGCCCTCTCCCCCCTTCCTCCCCAGTCCCCCTCTCTCCCCGTACCCCCTCTCCATCCCTCCCTCGCCGCCCCGCCCGTTTTTGGGGGGGTCCCCGCCGTGCCCGGGCCGCCGCCCCCCGCCCCCTGCAGTTCCCCCTCCCGCCGCCGGGGACCCGCGGCCGCCGCTGCCGGAGCGGGGCCGGAGCAGCCGCGGGCAGAGCCCAGCCCAGGTACGAGCGGGCAGGGATGGAGGGAGGCAGGGATGGACGGAGGGAGGCAGGGATGGAGGGTCTGGCGGGCGGCGGGCAGCGCTCCCCCGGGGTGGCGGGGGCCGGGGGTCCTCCCGCGGGATGCTCGCCCCAGCCCCCGGGAGCCGCCGCTGCGGAGCCGCGGGGCCGGGAGCGCTCGGAGCGCGGAGCCGCAGCCGCTCGCTGCCCCCCCGACCACGATCACCCCCTCCCCGGCCACATTCAGCCCCGTCCCGGTCACATCCATCCCCTCCGGACCCACGGCGAGTGCCCCCCGGCCGCCCCCTGCACTCGCTGAAGGACTTTGGGACCAGCCCTTTGCGGTGTTTTTAGCGCACCAAGAGTTGAAAAATGCCACGCTCCGGCTTTTCGGCGGAGCTGAAGTTGGCGGGGCGCGGGGAGGGGGTGGCTACAACTCCTGTGGATCAGCCGGGAGCGATCCCCGGGATGCGGTGGGCAGCCGGCAGGGATGCTCCCCGCGGACCCGGGGGCTGCCGTGCTCGCAGCCCTGCGTGCCAGGCAGCGAGGAAAACGCTGTCTTAACTCATATTTTTCTCGGGCTCCGGATCGCAAAGAAAAGGGCTCATTGTTCTGGAACGCGTGTCGGTGGAGTTGTGCTCGGGAATGATTTGCCTTTAGAATGTACGAGGTGCTCGCTGTGTGCGCAGACGTGCGGGGTTGGCGCTGCCCTGACTCCTGTAACGAACGAGCAGCGCTGAGCCCGGGCACTGGGGGGAAAACTCCACGCAGAAACCTCTTCCTAGGCCCAACTTTATTCCGTGTGATTTACGCCCGAACTCTGGCACAGCCGCGGCTCGGGCCGGGGCTCTGCGTAGGTGAGGGATGCTGCGAGCGCCGCTCGGCTCGTCGCCCATCGGGCTGGATTCTTTCCTTTCGCAGGGTCGAGACCTCAAGGTTGTGACCCTGGGGGGAGTTAATTGAACAAATCGGGGGTTTGCTTCGCCTCCCGCTCCCCCTTTGCGGGGAGGTGCTGCTGGCTGGAGGCTCCAGCGCTGTCCCTGCCTCCCTGGGGACCTCCCGCTGGCGGGGGATGCTGAGGGACAGCTCAGCCGCCGCATCCCGGCCGTTCTGACGGAGCGCTGGTGGGCTCCAGCAGCCCCACTACCACCGGGGGAGATCCCCCCCGGCAGGAACCAGCCCTTTGTCTCAGCCTTTTCTCCGGGAAGCCGCTCGGCAGCCACATCCCGGCTGGATGTGACCGCTGCATCGAGCGCAGAGCAGAGCCTCCCCTGCTTCCCTGGGCTGGCAGCCGGGAGTCTACGGCGTTCGGAGAGCGAGGAGCATCCCTCTGGAGTCTCTGGCTCTCCCGTGGAGCCGACAGCACCCAGCAACCAGCTCCTGGGTGCTCAGACGTGTGTGCTCACAGGTAGGAGGTGGATGTGACTGTGCCGGGTGCTTTCCTGCCATGGTTTGCTTTAGTCTTCTTTCACACAGGGGTAGGAGCCATCTGCAGTGAGGCTCCCACCGTGCCAAGGCATTTTAAACGTGTCTTGATGCAAGTCTGCTTTAGTATTTATGTATATTAAGCTGTGTATTTGAAGGGAACCATCTGGGTAGAGAAATAGATGGCGAGTGGCAGAACCTTTCCCTCTCGGTTTCCATTTCGGGGCTGGGCCTGATCAGCGAAGGCAGAAGTTGGGAAAGTTGCTGCGTGGCTCGTTCTGGTTTGCAGGTGGTGCTTTCCCCACACCTGATGTGAATTTCTACCCTGGGATGAGACAGCTGGAGCTGGGATGGGGGAACAGGGAGCTGACAGGCCGTGCTGAGCAGAGAGTGTGTCAGCACGGGGAAGGAGAATGCTCTTTTCTTTTCCTTTAAATGGCCATTTCTCTTAACCCTTTGTGGTCTGGCGCCTGTGGGGATGGTGCCTCTGCCCTTGGGGGTGGGAAGAGGGGGCCTGAGGAAGGTGAACCCCCAAAATGAAGGGCTGTGAGTGAGGACAGACCAGAGTTGGGGTAAAGACATGAACATCTCCCTAAAAAGAATCACCTGTGTGCAAGGCTGGTTATAAATGGGGGGGTTGGAGCAGCTGCCTGCAGTTCTGAGAGGGAGAGGCACAGAGACAGAGCTGCTGCTGCTGCAAGTTTCTTGCTGGAGGTTTCTTTTGCAATCTGTGCAAGGAAAATAAGCCAAGGAGTCATGTGGGCTGGCAAAGGCCTGGACACCTCGATGCCAAGGAGCACTCAGCAATCCGGGGGAGAACAGAGGATGATTTGAGGGACCTGCTCTTCAGGGAGCTCATCAAAGGAGCAGCAAGGCAGGTATGGGCAGTGCTGCCTCCAGACTGTCTGTTCTGAGACCTTAAATGTGCCAGGGAATTGCATCTCCTGTGTGTTGTGTGTGCTCACGCTGATGTCTTTGCTTGATGGAAAAGCAGAAAGTGAACTTAAAACTCAGCCAGGAGCTGGGAAAACGCTCGGCTAAATCCTGGCTGATTGAAGGAGTTCTAGGGGGAGAGAATGTGACTGTGATGGAGGATCTTTGTGTTCTGCCACGGGAGCTGCTTTGGCCATGTGGGTTTAGGCTCTTCTTTCTCTTGGGAAGAGCTGCTGGTTTTCCATGTGAAATAGGGACAGAGGAGACCAAGAGAGGCCTTGGGCTGCTTTGTTTGGAGGAGAAGCTGTGTGTTTTTACTGGGTGATGCTTGAGCCTGCACAGGTTGGTGGATGGAAGGATGAGCTTTGGTGTCAGAAGGGGGGGAGGAGGAGGGAGGGGTGACACAAGGGATGAAGGAGCTGATACATGCTTAAAATCAGACGTGGCTGGGCCATATTGGTGGAGAAGAACTCCCTCCTCCAAGAAACTTCATCTTCTTTAAGGTACTTTGAGCTTTATTCTGGTTTTTGTCAGCATTAAGTACGTGCAGGCAGTCGATGTCTTGCCCTTTTTAAAGGCCTGATGATGTGCCTGAGGTGTGGGTATTGATTCTCCCTGTCTTTTAGGGGAGATCTTCATGGGCAGCACTTGTTAGGGTCAGGTTTGAATTGGTTTGTTTGGTTGTTTGGTTTTTTTTTGTGCTTCCAGGCAGGCACAAGGAAAGACAAATGTTTTGCAAATCTTCTCAGCAATGTTTTCTGGGCAAGAGGTTTCTAAGGCAGCACATAAAGGCTGAGGAATCAGTTAAAACAAGGAACCTCTTGCTGTGTGTGAACAGGAGGAATGCTGGAATGGGGGTTGAGCAAGATGAGAACAGCTTGGAGGGGGTTGCTGAGACCTGAGGGGATGGCACAGAGAAATCAGTGGGGTATGAGGAGCTCCAGGAGGAAAGCTTTGTACAGGAGTGGAAAAGTTGGCTTAGAAAGGAGATCCTGGGAATGCTGCAGAGCTGTGCCCGTGCTCAGGAGACTGGGAACTCCAGTTTGTCTGGCTGTACCCTCAGGGGAGCTACTGACCTTGCCATGGCTTCTCTGACAAGAAAAATGGGGGACTTGGAGAGAGAAAAGGAGTTGTACAACCTGTGAGGAGGTAATGGAGCAGTTTTAAAGGTCCCCATGATAACTTTTCATCTGCTCTGTGGGACGTGGCTTGGAAGGACAGTTAACATCACTGTGATTTTTATTGTTTGTCCTGGTGCCTGTGGAAGGCTTGGTATGATACAGGGGGTGTGGGAGTTACTGGTGGTGAAGGTGGGAGGAAAATGTAGTGAGGGCCAGATCATAGAATCACAAAATGGTTTGGGTTGGAAGGGGATGAGTTTTAAGGTCCCTTCCAACCCCTGCCGTGGGCAGGGACACCTTCCATGGATAGAACATTTCCATACAGGTCACAGGGAGTGGCTGATGGGCAGGACAGAGCTGGCAACCCCCACCTGCAGGGAATTAGCACTGATTGAATTGTTCCAAGAGGAAGAAACGGACAAAGGTGTTGGGAATCAGGAGGTCTGGGGACAGTTGGTTTGAGGTAAATCAGGTGTAAATGAGCAGCAGGTGTTAAGGTGAAGGGGAGGACTCTTCCTCCTTGTTGGGTATTTAGCAAAGCAGGAACCCCAGTGGGCAGAGGGACCTGATGGATACAGCAGGAATTTTGCCACGAGCTGCCTTTCCAGAAATCAGACCCGAGGAAGAGCTGGGATGTCAGGCAGATGAGTTTTGCTTCTGGGTGCCTACTGGGAGGGCCTAATTACCACTCAAATACTTGGATGGGTCTAAGCTTGAGGGTCAAATCACCTCAGCTTATGTGCAGAGGATGGGTGCCCAGTAGGGAAGCCTTTCCTTCCTAATGCTGCTTGGAAGGCTGAGAAAACAGGAGCTCAACATGTTCCAACGGACCTAATTTATTTGGATTTTTCATTAAATCCACCCAAAAGGGACTATTTTGGGAAATAAATAGCAGAACGTGGGCAATAAATAGCTGTGGGATAAGGGGCAGAGTTCAGTGCTGGCTTTCCTAGTTAAGCTGCAGAAAATAGAAGTGTAATGGCCGAGTGCTGATCGGAGGGGAGAGAGGTGATTATGTGAAGGTTCCTCACACTGAGGCTGGGCTTATTTATTATCTTTAATGATTTGGAGGCTGAAATGGATCAGAGCTGAGTTAGGGAGAGCCAATGTGCCAACAGAAAGGGTTTGCTTTTGCAAGAATTAGAAGAGAAGGGTGCTGGCTCTGAGTGTGCCAGTGGTTGGGGAGCAGCAGTTGGGGTAACTCGGGCTCCAGAATTATAAGAAGAAAACCCCGAGTGAATCCTTCCCTGATAATGGAACCTGGGGGGATTCTGTGGGATTCTACCTGAAGAACACATAGGGACAGGAGGAGATGGTGTGGTTTGTGTGTGCAGGTGAGGAGGTTCTCAGGGCTGTGTGGATGAGCCACAGGAGATGCTGTGAGGTGGCAAACAGTGCCCTCCACCTCGGGGGCTCTGTGGGGAGAGGTGTCTGCAGGGACAAGCTGCTCTTCCCAAAGCCTCTTAGGTCAGGGATCTGGTTGCTGCTGGGGCAGGGGATCTGGTTGCTGCTGGGGCA